TCTTTAAATAAGAATACAAGACAAGAGAATTCATCAACTCGAGTAACATAAAAAATAGGTGTGTTTTATTTTTACAAAATGTGATCTTTATTTTAAGAATGTCTGAAATATATACATGTCTAAATTATATAGAATAAGATAGCGTTTGTCTCTCTACTGAACAATATAATTTTTATTGGACGTCTTCATTATCTTCAATATATATGTATTTGAGAAATTTCTGAGAAATTTTTGCGTAAACTTTTTTCACGTATAGTTTTTCGACTTTTCTTTAAAGAAATGTTAGTTGTGCAAAAATTGAAATTTCTACACATTTAAGACTGATGAATTTCTTTCATTTCAAGTGATTTTCATCGTTATTGAATTTTATTTTCATTGGAATATAGTGCTTCTCAGGATTTATCTAATTTTTGTCCAAAATGTATCAACTTGTACATAACAAACTATGAATGATGTGTATTCACTTATATTGTCATATTCATCGATATAGTAATGAATATATAAACAGCTATGAATTCATCACAAAATAGTCTCCTGATGATAGAGTATATCATATTTGTACTCTTTAAATTTTCAAGATTTATCGGTGAAAACAAAATTCATCATTATAAACATTTTGAATAAACAACTGTAATGTAAAAGTAATATTATTTCTAGATTTTTATACGAAACTGTGTATCAGACAAAGTATTAGTACAAAAAAGAGGCATTTTTCGTTTAGACATAATGAATGTTATTGCCTTTATATGTTCCACTTTTTTAATTGAATTATTAATGAGTATTTTGACATTGTAGAAATGAAAGTGGTAACTGTTTTTAGTTACCTAACAAAGTACTCTCTATGAAGTAATGTCATTTAATTAGAATGAAATGAAGTATTTTCTAAGAGAGACAATAATGATAGCAGTAGAGCATCTAATGAATGTCTTCATGTATTTCTCATTATATTTCTCTTGTATAAAAATTATTCGACAGATACAACAATTTCGTTTTGTTTTCAGTGTAGATATTTAATTTTTATAAAAATTCGATGTTGGTTTTTTATTAGAAAATGATTAAACTATAGTTGCTTGAGAAATTGTATATTTTGTTTTTATTCAGATCTCCCATCATACAGTTGTTGGTGTATTCTGTATTTCGATTATAGGTGTAGAGTGAGGCGTTACACTAAAAAAATAAAAAATAAAATATGCTGAATAACTTATTGGAATATTTTCTCGTTAAGGATAAATTCATATTCTGACGAATATTCGTTTTCTATGATTTTCTAAAGATAATTAATATTTTTATCGAGTATTTCTGAGATATAGAGTTTTATTGTCAGTTCATTGAAAAATATCTCAGAATTTTCATAAATAAAATTATGTTTAGATTAATTATTTGAGTCTATAAAAGAAATCTCAGTAGTAATAATAAATAAATTTATGAATCACATTTTTTTTTCTCATTAGACATATATACATGGTTTTTTGTTATGCTTGAAAGTATAAGTGAATCTATGAGACATAAAAGAGATTTAAAGAAAATTGCAAACCTCTTTCGAGTAAATGATATCGTCCTTATAATTTTTATGAGAAATTTCTACTAATAAAAAGACTTTTAATAAAAGATTTTTTGTAAAGTTAAACAACGAGTCTTTTGGTAAAATCCACAAATAGACGAATTCTTTATCAGTATTTCAGTGAATGTTGTTTTAATATTAACCTCTCTATATATCTTGTTGAGTCTGACACTACATTGTTGTTCTTCAACATGAATATAGACAATTTATTAGTAACAAAAAATCAGTTTGAATAAAAGATTCTAGTTGTTTTGCTTTTTACTTATGAAATGGGAACAATGTTTGACCTTTTTACTGTTAGAAAAGAATAATTGAGAAAGCTCGTTTACAGGAAAAAATACATTTCGATTAGAGATTTAAAACTTGTAATTTTTGTATAATTATGACCTGATAAATACTGTTGAAAGTTGCGCGTGTAAATTTTTTTTTTGAGAATGAATCGAATGAATCATTTATTGCTTTTGCTCCAAAGCAATCTTTTTATTTTTCTTCTTTATCTATATTTTGTTTTATTTAATATTTAATTGTAATACAGAAGATAACAGAGGAGTGTGAATCTGATGAGCTCTTCTTGTTAGCTCATACCTAAATGCTTTAAGAATTTAGTAGATGCGTTCATTGAATATTAAAAGATTTATCTCATTGAATTAGTTTTCTTTATTAGAATTTTTTTTCTTTTACTTTTCTACTAATATTTTTGTTTATCAATGAGAATTTTGATAAAAATTAATAGACGAATCAATTGGATACATTAAATTTGTATCAATTAATATTATACTGTTTTTACCATTTATATAAGCCGAATCAATAGTAAAAAAAAATAGAATTGATGATTACGAAGATGATATAAAAATTCAGTTATGTATTATAGAAAGTTTTTACGGAAGAATAATTTTAATTTAGACATATATATGTACTGATCTGTCATAAACTTCTCTTTTTGTATAGCTTCTATTGTACACATTTTTCTCTGACGAAAATCACACAGCACATTTAATAATAAAATTCAATACTGTTATTTTTGTTTTTTTTTCTACTGTATAACAATCATATTTTGATTTACGTAATCTAACATATGAACACAAACGATGTTGTTGAACATTAAAATCAAGTTCAACATGCTCTTGAAATAAGTGTTTATGGAGATTATTGATATTGAAGTGAGGAGCGTATTTATACGTTCAATCGTACTCACTCATTTTTCCTAAAAACACTCAACATTTTCATGGATCACATATTAATGTCATAAGTGTAGAGTTTTTGTGATGTAAGTGCTAGAATAATGCATCAAAGGTATGAGATTCCTTCGAAACACTTCGAAAAAGACAAATTTTCAAATGATAAATCAATTATAAAAATAGCTAAGAATTCATTTGAAAGGTTTTTGTTCCATAAAAGTCAAAAATAAATATATTGATACCTATTCTTATATGACATTGAAAATAATTCATCATTTTACATCATTGAAAAAACTATTTTTTGTTTCATCAAAATAGTTTCGTTATTGATCTGAATTAGATTTACTTCAATAAAAAATATAGTAATGTGTTGTAACTTTTTCAAATTCATATTACATATAGTTAGTTTCTGAAGAAATACCGATCAATTCCATCTTAATTTTCTACAATGAGAAAATATTTTTCGATTTTATCTTCTAATATTGTTTATTGAAACATTTTTGAATAGAAACAATAGGATATTCTCGATTGTTTCTTTGTGATCGATTTAGACACGTTAAATATATCAAATATACCACAAAGTAAGACAGAATACAAGTAGTAATGAGTAAATTATGAGCTAAGGTGTAGATTGTTGGTGTCTATGAAAACAAGCTCATCTACACGCACATCTTCATTATTCTGTTGTCTTACTTTTTGGTTTGAAGGATATTGACATACTAAACTTGCATTATAATCTTTACTGAGTAGAGTTCAAGAACAAATGACAACATCAATGCAATTTTAATCATACAACTTTCAGCACCACTCAAAACTCCTTTACAAATATAACTCTAAAAACTCTATCTAGACGTGATATTCATTCTCTCTGAGTTTTGTTTCATTTTAAGTGCTTCACTCTTTGTTAAACTAGTCGTTATCTTTATTGTCAATAGAAAGCAAAATAAAAAGCAATTCATTACAAAAAAACTTAATAAATAATATCATGCCTTGCTTTCTTTTTATGATATCTAAGAGTTTCTCTTGTTCTCACCTTATATTACCATAAGTGTTTGTATACATAGAAACAGGTTAATAGACACCATTGTTTGAAAATGTATGATGAATTTCTGTATTAGTAGGTTAATTTTTTAGTCAATTTAGAGTCTAATATCGTGCGAAGGCGATGAAAGCATAGGTAAAATGTTACTATTGATGTTCTTCTACTATTCTTGAGGTGTGGGTGTGGGTGTAAGTGAAGAGAAGATAAACACCCACACCCACACCCTTATTTAATAGGACTTGAGGAACTATTGATACCCCCTATATAATAGAACTTGCGGACCTATGAGTATCTCCATAGGACTTTTAAGGAGTCATAGATATCTAGCCTGTGATGCCCCTAAGGAATCCTGAAGATGATATGTGTAACTTTTCATGATGATCAGCTCATAGAGCTAAACTATTTGGAAAGGTTCAGCTCGTTGAAAAGAACTGTTCAAATAGTTCAGTTTGTGATAGTGAGCGTTTTGAACAGTTCATCAGTTCTGAACTTGTTTTAGGTAACAAAGATCGAACACAAGTTTTCTTCTAACGTTATATTGATTTTATTTCAAATTTCATTTAATATTAATATTCAAATAAACAAAATCTAATTGATCTTTTCTATCTCTCCTCGTTTTTTTTCTTCTCCCTTCTAAAATTAAGTTTAACACATAAGATATACTTTATGGAAGAGAGAAAAAAACATAAGATTATTTTCTTTCCTGCAAAGAATTGATTATTGAAGGGTTCTCTATTCTTTTTCGTCGTTTTGTTATATAATTAAAATATTGAAAAAAAAGAGTGCGCATGATATCATTTAATACAAAGAATTCTCTTATTGAAAGATTAGCAAATCAGACTTATTTATCTGATGATAATCGATCAAATTCCGAACAACGGTCAAGACGATCAAGTCTTGTAGCGTATTTTTGGATGAGATTTTCATTTTTTTAATTTAAATAAAAAGACAACAACTTATTCTATATAAATTTTTTTTCAATATACATATATTTATTTTAATTAACATTTTAAATAAGTGATTTATATAATAAGATGTTTCTCTTGTTTGTGTTATTATAATTGTAATTCTATTGAATATGGTTATATTATAATATTAACAGATTTATTTATATTAGCGATTCAAAAATAAAAATAAATCTCATTTATTATCTTTGTTTATGTTTGATTTATTTCGATTTAATAAAATAGTTTTTTAATATTGAAATGAGGGGAAAAAAACTGGTAAATTATATTCGAAAGATATAATATATTCAAAGAATTATTTTCAATAGAAATCGAAATAACTCGATCGATTTAACATATATTATACGAATGGAAGATATTTATTGAAATAAATCAAACTCTTAAATAAATAAATGAAATCTTATATTAATATAATAAATCATTTCAATGATTAGACTAATATTAATAGAAATTAGATTTTATTCAATTTATTTATTTTAATTTAATTGACTTAACCCTTTGCTAGTGTTTTTTTTTGTTAAAAATTTTTCTATAGTTTTATAATGGAATTATTTTATGTTATTATTGTCGAGTTAAGATAATAATTATATTTTATTGTTTTTCATTAAAAAAAATCTTTATTTAGAAATAAAATATCATTTGTTTTGAAGAGTATTCAAATTGTTAAAAAGAATTTTTCAAATTTAACAAAACGTTTTATATTATTAAAATAGATTTAAAGAATAGTTTTCATATTCGTGGAATTAAAAAAATCGAACTTTCATATTAAATCTTTATTGTTATTTTTTCAAAGCTAATTTAAATAGTTAACTATCTACTTGCATTTGGTCAAAAATTCGTTATTTATTATATAAATCGATTTCTAGATGAATCTATATTGATTATCTTATTATATATAAAGATTGACAACGAAAATTATTCATTATTTTAATAATCTATCCTAGAAACATTATTGGTCTAAACAATTTTGACACAATTTATTTCTCTCTACTGAACGATCGCTAACAAATGATTAATATTTCATCCGAGTTGAACGTATTTTGCCGAAAATCTGCTTTTAACTGCTAGATAGAAACATTCTATAAGACGAAATATTGATAAAATAGTTCGAATTATCGATTAAAAATCTCTTAGGAAATAAATTTATTTGAATAGGATATTTATCGATATGGTTAAACAAAGAAATTCGAAAATAAAAAATGAAAATATTTTATTTCTTTATATTTATTAATATAGAAGTGATGATGTACCTGATTGTTACAATCAAGTTCGTTATATTCCAGATTCTTGTAAAGTATTGTGTAATCTTTGGAAAATAGATAAAGATTTTGTAAGTTAAATAATTAAATTAAAAAAACAAAAAAAGATAAAACAGATGTTTAGTTAAATAAAAGTATTGATAATGATGTATCAAAATCATTAAAAGAATTTCGTTTGAGTGATGTTGCACGTTGTTATCGTTCTCCATATAGAATAAATGGTGTTTTATCGATTTTAAATCAAACAATTGATGATTTAATTCAAATACATGATTTTATTGATGCAAAAAGAAAAGAATGGCTTGAACAATTTTTAAAAATTATTGAACAAGCTAGAGATAAACAAGTATTTGCTTATTTATTGATTTATTTTTAATATAAGTCAACTATTCGTCAAACAATGACTGAACGAAGAGATAATTATGAAAAAGCTCAACGAAAATTAGAAACAGCTGATGCCAATTTAAAAAAGTTTCTGTTTTTATTATTTAAAATAAAAAATTTTCTAATTGTTTTGTTAAGATTTCAAACACGATCTGATCATTTAACATTAGCAAACTTTGATGAACGTTTACGTGAATTAGAAGATATTCGTTGTGAATGTGAACAATCTCGAACATTATCACGTAATATATATGCAACTGAAACATATAAAATAGCTAGTGAAGAACATTCAATTACAATTAAACTTTTTTTATCAATATTTATATGAAAAAAATCAATTTTATAATAATATATCTCGATATTTATCATCAAAAATGCCTGAAATTGAACAAAGATTAGAAAATGATGATTTAATTCTATTATTTGGTTATGATCTTATAAAACATTGTTCAAAAAAAAAGATACATTAATTGCTTATCCAATTAAAATATGCATTCGTCTATTAGAAAATAGTTTAAATGAAGAAGGTCTTTTTCGTATTGCACTATCACAAGGAAAACAAAAAAAAAACATTGTTGCTGAACTTAATTTACAAACAATTGATAGAGGAACAACATTAAATCAACTTAATTATGAGCCACGTGTCTCTGCAAGTATACTTAAACAATATTTAAGAGAACTTCCTGATCATTTACTTACAACTGCACTTTTACCACAATGGAATGAGATTATTTCACTCAGGTTAACACTTTTTTCTCTTTTTCTTATTCAATCATCCTAAATAAATTTATTTTCATTTATTGACCTCTAGTAAGGAACTGCCCCTTATGGACTGTCGATGCCTTCTTTCTGTCCCGTGGGACGCGGCAAGGAGTTAGCCCTGGAGTCTTTATTTATTTACATAAATGAAAACTTGTTTATTTTAATTAATTATTTTGATGAGTTTATGGAACCTTCCTGCATTTTATAAACTCATATTAATTATATCATGTTTGGGTATAAATTGTTGAGGATTATTTAGAAAAGGTAAGAGAGCATTATAATGATTTCCTGTGAAATAAATACATAAACTCAATTTGTTCATATCGGATTTGTATCCAATATATTTAAGATGACCACCTGCGGTTCCTTTATCGAATCGATCGATCAATTTTTGTAGACTGATATCAGATGGAACATAGTGTCCATTTGTTGAATCATTGTTGACTTTGACATGTGAATAAATAGGTTGACATAAGGCTATAGAAAGGGCTTGAAGTTGAACTTCTCCACCCCATTTTTTAACCGTGGTAGTTCTTTTCATCTGTTCTTCAAATGGATAGTTCTATGTCTTACAAATTCTTTTAAAATGATCACTATTATTAATCATTGCATTGACTGCTAATAGCCTCATTGACTGTGCTAGTCTTTCAGAATCAATATTAAGTATCGAAAGAGAATTATATAAACAATTGCCATCTTCACACAGTGGGCAACCAGGCGGACATGATCGAAAGTTCTATTTTCCAAAGTTCAAATATTGGAATGAATACATCTATGATTAGTCTATCTTACCCTAAAACTAGATTTCCAGAAATCAAGTCAAACCCTGGAAAAGTTCATGGTCAAAAAATTTGTTCATAAATCGTTAATTATACGGAGAAGATTTTTTTTATTAACTTATTAAAATATTTTAAAATGAAAAACTATCTCAAACGAATGACTGACCCATAAGCTTCATTGTATGAAAAATTTATTTCCATCAAACAAGAAATGGAGTAGAAAAAAAGCGATTACTGGGCCAAAAGTAGGTGAAAAAATCAATCATACCGTATTTTGTGAACCTCAAAAGGTTTTTAATCCAATTATTCTCCTATATAAGTCGGTTCCTGTTTCCAACAAGGTTCTTAAAACCAGTCTTTTCGTATTTTGTAAACCCCCAAAAGAATTTTCGTCCAATTGATCTCAAATTTTCACTAAGTACTCTTCCACGTCTAGTTCATCATTGACAATAGCGCCATTTCGCACTGATGAGCACAGTCGATGCTATGGGTCTCCCAAAAACTGAGGTTTTTGCTCCCAAATCTCTATTTTTGGAAACAAGGTACCATTTGGGTGCAAAATCAAGGTGATATTCGGAATCAGCTCGTCGAGTTTCATCGACTCATGTATAATAATAAGCATTTTTTCAGAAAAAAAAATTGGGGCTTTTGCTAGATATAGCTTCGAAAATTGGTCATTCCATACTTTACTAACCCTATAAAGAGATTAAGTCCAATTGATCTGAAATTTTTACCGATTATTCTTCTATATGTGATATATCGTCGGGTTTGGCACCACCTCACACTGAGGAATCCAGGCTATGCTAGAAGTTTTTCAGAAATCCAGGCTTCTATTCCTGAATCTCTATTTTCTCGATTCCGATAGCATTATAGCGCAAAACAAATGTGATATTCGGAATCAGCGAGCAAAACTGCATCGGACGATGTATGACACAAGGCATTCCCTACCAAAAACATTTTTTCGAAAATCTCGGCAAGGCTCCCCCTCAGGTGTTTCACCCCAAAAATTTTTTTTCAAAAAATACTTTATTTTCGTAAATTCGATTTTCTGAGTAATATACAAACACTTCTAAGTAACGGCAACCCGTTTCAGAACACAAAATTTGCCCACTGTGGGCTGGTAGCAAGTCGTCTGTTGTGGGAGAAGTCAGACTTGGTGGGTTTTCCCCTTCCTCGGACATCACTTCTAGTACATCGAGTATGAAAGCACTTTCTGCCGAATTTTCAGTCTCCCTCCTCCACCTCTAGAAAATATCCACAATCCTGCTCATGATATAAGATCTGTTAAATACAATGCTTCACAGTAACTGAAATATAGGACAAAAAGAATATTTGCGAAAACTATACAGGATAAAATGTAAAATAAGATGTAGTTAATTTAATGGTAAAGCAAAACGTTTTATCAGCATTTTCAATTTTTTCAATAACAAAAACTTACAATGAAAAAAATACAGTTTGAAATGGAAAAGAAAAATACTAATCTGAAGAATGAATCTATTATTCAAGGAGATAGTTGAACTCAATTTTCTCATTGTTTAAAAGTAAGTTTTACATTCTGGATCATGTATAGATGCTGAAATGAATATACTAACACAATGGGAAAACGATGATAAAAAGAATATTGTTATATGTATATTTAATCTTCATTATTAATATCGAATGATTGTGTTTTATTCAACATTCAAAAGTGTATTTCTCTTATCATCAATTTTTTGAGGCTTTTTATGACACGATTAAATGATGTTTCGGATTTTTGAAAAAATTCAAATCGAATCAAAAAAAAGTTAAATTAACGTAAAAACATTTTTATAAATCTAAATTATTTGTATCCATTCATTGTGATACAGATAAAATTTGAATTCGTACTAAATCAAAAGTATAAATACATAGTTGTTCGACGAGATTTTTCCTACTATTGTAAATGCTAAAAATCCAAATAGTATTTTTAGTAGAGAATTTTATTTCTAACACGATCTCTCCAAGATTAAAATGATTGCTACTTTTTCCAGAGATAGGATCTCTGAAGAACTCTTACAACAAATTTTTCAGCTTCAAGAATCGGCAATTAAAATTCTGTTTGAGTTGGTCAGGATGATACAACAAACGATTCTCTACAAAATGAAATGTCTTCCAGCTTCCTGCAATGTGTTTTTAGCCAAGATTTATCAACTTTACGAAAGGCACTAATGTCACTTTTTTTCCTGTTACTTAGTATGAAAACATCATTTTTATGCCTTTCGTAAGATTGATATGCATCGATCAGAAAATGTCTTAGAAAGCTGAAAGACATTTCATTTTGTAGAGAATTGTTTGCTCTATAATGAGGTGTGGTTAGTGAATCGTGCCAAGATCCAAGATGGTTGTGCAAAGTTTCAAGTCAAAACTCAAAATTCGGTTTTCATGGTGATCTGAGAAGGACAACAGATAGTCAAAATTCAAATTTCTCAAGAGTAAAGACTCAGACGACCGAACTATCTTAAATTTTAATACTACTTCCCATAGCTTATCATTTGAGTAAAACTCGATGAAAAAACGATTGGACACTTGGGAACGTTCCTTGATTAGTGAGAAAACCGTTACCGAATAATTTTAGGAAACACTATATAGATAAATTACGATCGTCACTGAAGTGAACTTACAAACCACATCCATATATTTATTTTTTATTAATTTAAAGAAAAAAAAAGAAGTCTAATAAACATGATTTTTTCATTTCAATAAAATGATATGCTAAGTTAATTTAACAAATAATATATACACAGTCATATATGATGAAATTATTTTTATACTATTTTCTTGAACATTCATCGATATACACAAATAGTTACACAGACAAAAAAGCAGATTTGTATGAGACAGAAGATAAATGAAAAAAGAAAATTTTACTCAGAACATAACTCTTCAGTTTGATAATTCGATAAATTTGAAGAACTACATAGTGGTCGAAGTATAACTGTTGTTGATGCTGGTAATTCTTCTGGAATAGATGTTATATCCATTGAATCATCTTGACTAGTATTTGCAATAGTTTTTTTAATACGTGTGCTGATTGATTTACTATCTTCTTTTTTAACAAGAATTGTTTCAACTAAATCAACATAAGACATTAATTCATTTGCTTCATCAGCTTCAAAACCCTTTGTAAAAAGAAAAAAAAAACAATAAAAAAACAAAAAAAATTTCTTTTTTTTTTTCAAAACAAACTTTTTCAATAGTTTGTTCAACAAATTTTGTTAATAAATATCGAAGTTCATCAATATTTGTAACACAATCAACAATTAATTGTGGATCAGGCCCTTGTATTAATTCATTTGTTAGTTGTTCATCATCATCATCATCATCATAAGTCATTAGTACTTGTTGACATGATGAAATTTCTGAATTAAGATATGCTATTGTACTTTCTAATTTTGTTATTGATTCACGTAATGGTTTACATGTTGAATCTTCACATTGTTGTATATTTGTTGTACTATTAATAATTGCATTACTTAATCGTTTACAATATCGTTCACGTTTACGACTCACACATTCACGATTTTCAATTAATGTACTCATATCACGATTAATACCAGCAATAAGTTTTCGACGACGAATTGCATTTGTAATCTATGAATATTTTATATGAAATAAGAAGAAAGGAAAAAAAAATTTTTTCTTTTATCGAACATACGCCGTGTTGTATAGCAGTATAATGTGCACTCATCTCTTTTGTTGTTGTACGCACTCGTCCTGAACGCATTTGACGTCGTAATAAATGTACCTAGAAAATAAGATTTTATAAAACATGATTGTTTTTTTGCCCAAAACGATCAGCAAAGAGTAGATGACGATCATTCACCGATATACTGTCACCGCTCCATCCCTAGTCTGAAAAAATATATAGGGTGAAACTCATCGGGTCCAAATTTTTTAGATCCGAATCTGAGCTCAGGACTAATTCGATGGGCTCGAGCACTTCTTAGAATTAAACCTCTTTGTCATCTCGATAGTCGGGAGCTGCGGGTCCAACCTTTTATTTTTTGTCAGGTCTTGTTACACGTTTTTGTGGATTCACTGCTCCTCTGATAAGAAATATAACTGTACGTTGAGGTTTCTTTCTTAGAATAGTGAATAAATAGTTAAAATCTTGATCCTTTACTTGTTCATGCACACGAAGTATAACAGGTATTAATGGAAAAAATCTCAGGTTCGGGTCTGGCCTTGTCGCCCTCTACTCGATAGGGATATTGATATATTTTACCTCTTGTTGTTTACGTTTAAGAATCATTTCTTTTTGTTTATGTTGAGCACGTAATGTTCGAATTTCATTATCTTTTTGCATTTGTGTCTATAAAATAAAACATATAGAATTTACTTTTTAATTTTTTTTTTTTTTTTTTTTGAATATAAAATATACTCGTTTAAGTGTAGCAATTTCTTTTGCTTTAGCTTGTTCAGCTTGTTTATGTCGAGTAAATTCTTGATGTAATTCACGTGTTAATTGAACTTTTATTTTACGTAAATCTTTTAATTCATTTGTATATTTAGCTAATTCTTTTTTATAATATTCACCATCTTTTAAACAAATAGCATATTGTGTACGTAATGTTGATAATTCATTATTTTCAATTTCTAATCGACGAATTTTTTCTTCATAATCACGTCTTGCTAATTTTAATTCTTCAATATTATGTTGATCACGTCCAATAGTATCTAAATTTTTTTTTTTGAAGAAATAACATATTTAATAAACAAAAAAACCCATAATAATAAATTAACA